CAGAAGCTGTGGTTGCTTCTTTTTAGGCAGCTAATCTTGGTTCAATGTAAAACAATGTCAAACGCAACTGTGAATGGGTGTACATTTGCCTTTCTGCATTGTGTGTTAACGATTCTCATGGCTGAGAAGCCAGTCTCGCTTGGAGAATGGTGAAAGGAATGTCAAAAGGATTTTCAAAGCAATTTCGGTAACCTTAGGATATTCTGCTTTTACTTTTATCTAAAAAGAACCAAGAAATGTTTGATGGCAGCTGCACACCGACAGCCGTGTAACATCAGTTGCTTACCGGGAGTTACTGGTTCACGTATTGGCGCTGGCACAAATGTCATACTTTGATTATCACTGGGCTATGAGATTACTACGTCGTCGTCTTCTTCTTCAAGACATAGGCAATTTCTTGTCTTTGGTAGGTCTTAATTTGTTATTACTCCTAAGCTCTGTTCTGCTAACCATTTACTCAAGATTGTTAGGTAAGTTAAGAGCCGCTTTCCTTTGTTCCTCTTGCCTTCAATCTGTCTTGTGAGTGACAAATTTTCCAAAGCCTCTTTCCTCATTAATATTCCGTAGAAATTTCAACGGTTTCTTTCTGATGTTAAGTAAAAGTGTCCTTTTTGTGTGCATTTTCTACAAAACTTTTCGTTGCCACATTTTCAGTCCATGGTATCCTCATCATCTTCCTGTATACTCGTTAGCTGAACACTTGGATGAACTGGCATAAATCTAGAGATACCTTTGAATTTCAGATAGACGGACCGGAAAGAATATTCCAAACACCTCTTTTATTAGAAATTCAAGAAATTTACCTTCAGCCTTAATGTTAACTGCGATCATTTTAGGTTACTAAAATTAAGAAAATCGATATGAAAAATAATCCAGATATCCCTTTTTTTGCAACCACCACGTCTATTTGAAACTCAGGTGTATAGATACATGTGACTTATATAATGTAAGTAAATATTTATGCAATATGACAACAGCGTTCTACTCTGATTTATGTGTGAAAAAGTCATGTATGTTATTTCCAATTGTTTTTCTAATCACGTTCACCCGCAAGCAAGGCAGTAGAACCATTAAGACGCAAGGGGTTACTGGGTGTGGAAGTATTAGAAAACCGAGGCATTACTAAGGAGCGAGAACAAAACAAGAGTAATCAGGAGGACAATAGATGGGATCCAAAATGTTGAATACTGATTTTCTAGGCAGGAATATCCTTCACATTCAAAAATTTGATGTAACGGAATCTTTTAATATTAATTCTTTCTGTTTGTTACACCTCATGACATAATAAACTCAGTTTGAAAATATGGAGTAATAAACACTTATGTTTATAAGTTGATACAACTATATTTCCTATTGGAATTGACGCAATGCACAAAAAATAAGATTATTGTTCTGAGATCGAATTCAATACATTCATACACACATCTTGTTTCGCTAGATGCTTTACGACTGAGTAGTGTATTCGATCCTCACTGGGTTCAGCTTTGTGCTATATCTAAGCAACGCATAGAAAATCACCATACATGCACACACATGTGTATATATATATATATATATATGTGTGTGTGTGTGTGTGTGTGTGTTTGTGTTTGCGTATGTATAGCAATTTCAAACAATATCTTGTGATGGGTCAGAGCGCAGGGTGAAGTGTCCTTTCTTAGTTCAATTTGAATTCCATATAGGAACAATAATCTTATTTGTGTGTGTGTGTGTGTGTGTGTGTGTGTGTGTATATAATATATATATATATATATATATATATATATATATATATATATATATATATATACGTGTGTGTGTATGTGTGTGTGTGTGTGTGTGAGAGAGAGAGCAAAATTCAGATAAATGAAGACAAAAGGAAAAGTTTTCTTTACCAGCGCGAAACACATTGTTAAAGAAACGTTTTCCTTTTGTCTTTATTCATATTCATTTATATATATATATATATATATATATATATATATATGTGTGTGTGTGTGTGTGTGTGTGTGTGTGTGTGTGTGTGTGTGTGTGTGTGTGTGATTTTTTACATACGTAAAGACACACAACTTTATAAACACTTAACTGTCGTGTAGCCGAGTGCGTCGAATGATACTAATAGACAACATTGTTATAAGCACATTCAATTTTCAGAAAACAATGTTTTTCGTACAAAACCGAAATTGCTTAGACGGATTTAAAAAAAATGTTATTCTAAAAAGCAATGTTAAACTAACTACAAGTTTTATATTTATATATAAAAAATTACATTGGAGTCGATGGACTTTTTATCTTCTTTTTGATAACAGAACTGCGCGCACAACATTTCGATTTTTTATTTATTTTAAGCTCCCATTTGCCGCCGAAATAGAAGGAGCTTCTTTAAAGCTATTTTTATTCACACTCATAGATTACATTTCGTTTTTTTTACTTTTTTTTTATTTTTTTGATGCGCGAATAGGAAAAGAAATAACGTTTCTATTGAAAGAGATTACAGTTGAAATAGATACAACCGTAGGTTCTATGCTAACAGTTATTTCTCTCGCACTTCTCGCTTGTGGAACTCTCTTCCGGTTTTTTGCTTTTCAGTCGCCTTTGATTTTCAAAAATTCAAATGCGTTATCTACCATGTTCATAATTCTTGTTCTTTTCTTGTTCTTTTCATATTCTAAAAAAACAGCAAATCCATTGCATCTTTGCCTTGTTTGGAGTGAAATGATTAAAAACATCAGATCAAAACTTAGCTAATAAATGCATGACAAACTATAATGCCGTGGGTGTTTCTCATTGTTTTTCTTGTTAACTTATTGCTAATTAGTCTTCAAAATTTACATTGTTACCATATCGAATAGAATAAGTATATATACAATATAATATATAGTGTTTCTGTTATGTATTGTAGGATACCAGATAAAATTGAAAGAATCTGCTATGTTACTGGTCCAGACGTGGCATCTCGGCTCCAGTTACATTTGTCCATCGCTTTAACGTAATTTTCCCTGTGACGTTTCTATAAATAAATTCATGGTAATTGTTCTGATGAATTTTCCTCTATGGCACCTAGACTTTATAAATTTAGACGCAGTAATAGAGTGGAATAGGGAGAAACGGTGGTGCAATGGATAACGGCACGGATTGAGGACTTACTTAGATGGAAATATATACATCTATCTTGGAATTAACTTCTTATCCATTGCCAATTATATCGGATTGTCAAGGGAAGCAGTGAAATAGAGATAATCTTATTCATTTTATAGTAATACTACTACTACTACTACTACTAATAATAATAATAATAATGTTTTATTCTTTATAATAATATTTTTTTCATTTTTGCTGCACAGGACCAATGCTTGCTAACTAGAAAATACCAAGCATACATACTGAAACATTGTGTTGACCCCAAATGCAGATTCTGTGATAAATATCCAGAAACAATTGATCATTTTGTATCAGGTTGCATGTTGTTAGCACCAAGTGAATATAAAACTCGGCATGATAGAGTGGGCCAAAATCTGTACTGGGAAAGGAACTGCAAGAAATTGGTATGAACATCACCCAGAACCGGTTACAGGGATAAGAATTGTAACAATTTTATGAGACTTTACAATACACACAAACAGAACAATCAAAGCTAATTGCCCAAACATCGTGATTATAGACCGCAAAAGCAACACGTGTCTTTGAAGATCTTCAAAAACTACAAAATACAAGGAGCTTGAAGTTGAAGTTTCAAAAATGTGGGAATGACGACATCAATAGATTCATTGAAAGGTTTTCTGGCAGTCCATAACTTAAAGAAATACAAAAAAAAAAAATTGTACTCATCGATACTGCTCACACATTATGAATAGCTTTATCTATGTAAAATGTGTTATCTTAGGTTTTTATGTTTTACAAAAAAGGATCAGTGAAAAATGTCATGAAGCTATTTGTGAACTTAGGTCTCTGGTTGGGACCCGGAAGTGTATAAAAAAGAAATCAAAGGAAATAATAATAATAATAATAATAATAATAATAATAATAATAATAATAATGTAATTTAAAATTAAAATAATAAAATGATGACATTAACGTTCTGCCAAAACACTGTGCACGAAGAATCTACTCGTTTGGCTATTGTGAAAACGATGGACACGCAATATAGAATCTCACTCACTTCATTCAAGATGTCGGTCGAGTAAAACTAATGGTGAGTATCTGTTCACGAATGATGAGTAAAGTACTCTCTGATTTCTAAGGTACAAAAAAAGGCCAAATCGCCATGTTCTCAATATATTCATAATGATTGGATACGTTCCAGACATAAATCGTTGATATATATATATATATATATATATATATATATATATATATATATATATATATATATATATATAAATACAGCTATATGTATACATGCATATATGTATGTATGAGTGAATTTGAATTCGTTTTGAATTTTTTTAGCTAATTACAAAAAATATACCTAAAAATAAAATCTGAAATTAATTTTTGTTTTTTCTTTTTCTTCAATGTTTAATAGCTCTTCAGTCTACAAGAGTCGTACTTTTAAAAAGCCCTTTTGGCTAGAAACATTTAATACTAGAGAGTGTTATATATATATATATATATATATATATATATATATATATATAGAGAGAGAGAGAGAGAGAGAGTGAGAGAGAGAGTAGGAGAAAGAGAGAGAGACTGGGACAATGATTAGCATTGTCTAGTTTTGAAAATTTGGCACCTACTAAATCGATGAATGTTTTAACATGTAAATATCTGTGAATTTATATGTGTGTACGTGTGTGTGCGTATAAGTGTAATTATGAATGTGTGTATGCGAGTGTATTTATGTGTGTTTCTCAATGTATTTGTGAAACTAACAGTAAGGAGTAAAGAATTTACAGACGTATGTGCAGGATTAAAACAAACAAAAGTGAAAAAAAAAAAGTCTAAAACTGAAGGAGACAATGCGTGCTTGCGCCGTGAGAAAGAAGGAAGCAGTGAGAAAATGAAAAATGAAAAAAGAACAATTACAGAAACGAGTGGGAAATAGAGAAGCAGGGAACTGGAATGAAAGGAGAGAAAGTAAAAAAAAGAGAAAGGGTTAACGAGAAAGAAGAGGCAATAAAGAGAAAGAAAGAGAAGGGAAAAGAATGGAAGATAGGGAAAGACATTGAAAGAGAATGGGAAAGAAAGAGTGAGAAAATGTAATAAACAGAGTGAAAAAATGAAAAATGGTAAAAGCGAAATAAACACAGTAAAAAGAAATAAAGAAAGTAAAAGACTTTGGAAAAATGTTTTGTTTGACTAATTTGTATATTTTACGTTTTATCAACCTTTTGCAAGTTATATGAAAGCAGAAAATGCTTTTAGATTTTAAGAATGTTTTAGAGATAATAATGATCTATTGATACGAGTTCAACTAATAAACCGATAACTGGGAGGAGAAGAACTGGATTCATATCTTTTCTAAGGGTATTTACTTGTAATTGAATATAACGAACTTGACTGGAATTGGAACTAGGCTCTTCGATTTCCAATTCCGTGACGTTATTCATTTGACCACTGCCTATAAATGAGATTCTTTTCGAGTAGAATAGTTCGAGGAGGAGACAACTATGGCTGCTTTCACAACAAGAAAAACAAGCTTTATTCAATACAATTTGACTATTACCCATGAGTGAGGTTCGACCATTTCTTTTATAGTCGAGTAGTTTGTGTGGGAGACAACTCTAGCTGCCTTCACCATAAAGAGTAAGGAGGAGATGTAACGGAGTGGCTCCTTGGAGGAAAACGGTTGTTATAGCTATATAAATACATAGATTTTGCAAAACTGTTATTGTGACTGAACATTTTGTTGATATGGAGATAATGCGTAAGAACAGGTGGCAGAGTTAGTACGTAACACACTCCCCAACTTGTCAGAAATATCTGTTGACAAATTACTTTGTCAACAAGGTAAATAGGAAATGTTTTTAGATTTAAATCATTTGGAGGCATAGTTGTTTTGACAAGGTGCCATTAGTAACTTTAGATTCCTGAGTTATTCTCATATAGATCCAAAAATCAGAGTTAAGTGTTCTAGGTAGGGATGACTAGAGGAGAGCGGGCAGACAAAACCTCCACAGAGTTGACGAGCAAAGATTCAGGTAGAAATTATCTGCATGCCACGTTCACTTCCAACACGGAGTTCGAATAAGTGTTTTCGAGGTCTACATAATTATTATTCGCTGTCTGTGTTTTGAATTATAGAATAAAATATAGTATTTTTGAACTTACAAGTAAAAGACCATTGGGTCATGTGTCCCCCAGGGACCCAAGCTCTAGTGGATATAAACGTTGGTTGGCGTAATCCAGAGACTTGACCCCAAAACCTGGTCAAAGCAGAAGTTAACAAAGTCTTGGAGAGTTGAGTTACTAAAGGTAAATAAATGAAATTGAAACTGAGATATCCAGAAGAGGCATGGCATGCGGAACTAGAACAATCTACCCTATTGCAAGAAATAAAGTGTAGTACTACGACCGAAACAGCATGAAGATTACAAAGATGAGAACAACAATTCCGAATAATGTAAATAGTGTAAACCAGTAAATTCATTTCTCCTTTTCTTTGGACTCTACTAGTAAGACTAAAGCGAGGAAATTTTACGTAAGATGGCCATAGTTCCTATCTCTGCCTGAAATGCTCTATGCTACACTATCGTCTCTTGAGAGGGACGGTCACCAACACGTGTAACTTCGTCATCAGAAAGGGTTATCCGCACAGTGTTCTCCCGACTCTATAGTCAACTTCAGGTTTCATGCAAGAGAGAGAGAGAAGAGAGAGAGAGAGAGAGAGAGAGAGAGAGAAAGAGAGAAGGAGAAGGAGAAATAGAGAAAGCGAAAGAGAAGGAGAGTCTGATAGTGAGGGAGGGAGATAGAGTAAAGGAAGAATAAAGGGATGAGCTAAAAAAGCGAGAGAAAGTGAGAGGAAGAAAAAGAGAGAAAGGAAGAGAGAAAAGGGGAGAGAGAGATAGGGTGAGTACGAGGAAGGCAAGACTTTGCAGATGAATAGGTACAATTAATGTAAGCGAGAAAAGGAAATATTTTGTAGCATCTGAGAAGACGGAGAATGAAAACAACGGATAAAAATTTCTTCCCACAGGCAGGAGGTGGGACGACGCCTTGAAATCCTGTATCAATAACGGCCTTAGAAGAATATATAATCTGTGTTTTTATTTATCTTTTATTTAAAAAAGTCTTGTTAAGACAAAAGAAAAAAAAATTAAATATAAATTAATCGCCGTTTTATATTTTTTATTCAAGCTAATAATTTTCTTTAAACAAAATAATAAAATATTTAATGTTTCCTAAGTTTACCTAAGTTTGGCACAATACAAAAAATACGCGCCCATTTTTCTAGTAATCGACAAGCAAACCAGCTCTGTAACCATTACATCACGTCGAGGCGCTTTTATGTTATTCATTAAGCTATATCAAATATATATAAGTATATATATACCCAGTGAAAATCGCTACAGAATATTATCAGGTCATCCCATAAGGTCTGTCCGAAGTTTAACTTTTTTGTTAAAATGAACGAAATTTAAAAAGAGAGTATTTTATAATGTCTAATGGAGCTGAACATTATTTTTATGTTTAGATGCATTTAAACTGATCAAATTTTATTTCAGAGAACAATAAAATTAAATTTTGTTTGATTAAAACCCTGCTAACATGGAAGTACCCAAGAATCATTTGAGGCACATAATGCTTTATGAGTTCAAGAAAGGAAACTCAGCAGCCGAAGCGGCTAGAAACATTCACTCAGTTTATGGAGAGGAATGTGTGAATGAAAGAACTTGCAGAAGATGGTTTGCAAAATTCAGAGGTGGAGATTTCACCCTTGAAGATGAAGATCGAACCGGACGTCCAGTTGAGTTTGATGAAAAGCTTCTTGAAGCAGCCCTTGAAGAAAATCCTGCTTTATCAGTTGAGGAATTGGCAGTGGTTCTCAGTTCAAACCATACAACTGTTCATCGTCATCTTCAACAACTTGGAAAAGTTCCTAAACTTGGAAAATGGGTGCCTCATGAATTGTCTGAAAACAACCTCAAATCCCGAGTTGACATCTGCTCTTCTCTCCATTCTCGCCAACTTGTTTCACCTTTTTTTTTGATAGACTTGTGACTGGCGACGAAAAATGGATCTTTTATCGAAATGTTAAGCGTCGTAGACAGTGGCTTGGTAAAGGGAAGGACCCCAGCCACAGCCGAGAAAGGAACTTCATGGGCAAAATGGTTCTTCTTTCAATCTGGTGGGATCGCCAAAGAAATAATCCACTTTGAATTCTTACCACCTAATGCAACAATTAATGCTCAAATATACTGTCAGGAATTAGAGAGTTTGAACGAAGCTTTGAGGAAAAAAGACCTGCTTTAGTGAATCGAAAAGGGGTGTTGTTTCATCAGGACAATGCGCGACCCCACACAGCAAGAATCACGTCACAAAAGAACGAAGAACTTGGTTGGGAGAAAATTCCTCATCCACCTTATTCTCCCGATCTTGCTCCTTCACACTACCATTTGTTTCGTAGCTTACAGAATCATTTGGAAGAAACAGCTTTTGTAAAACAGTAAGAGGTTAAAACTGACATATGTGAGTTCTTCGAATCAAAGCCAAAAGAATTTTACAGTAATGGAATTAGTAAGCTTGTTAATAGATGGACTGAAGTCATAGATAATCAGGGAAAATACAGTGTTGATTGAATCTGTAATTAAATGTAACATTTGGTCACTTGTTTTCTTTATTCAAAATTCGGACAGAACTTATGTGATGACCTGATAATATTCAGTCAGGCTAACTCGTTAACCATTATTACTTGTCGACGCACCTTACTGTATAACGGTCGAAGTTCTGGTTAATAATATTGTAAGGAAACACTGGAATAAAAGATTTCAGTAAAGAACAGGTTTAATCACACGAGAGACATTGAATAATAATGTAGTAATAGAAAATATCGTAGCAATGCGTACGACTCAAACTCTACGTCTTGCGATCCACTTTATGACGATCGTCCCTATGAGATGATGTTCCATTCATAGTGGATAGCCTAATCTATGTTCAAAGTTTAATGTAGAGAAGATTAGTCGTCTTTCTACACAGAACTTACTAAGCTTGATTTGCCATAAGACCGAAAGAATAGAGCACCCGGCGAGAAACAAACTACTTTGCCGTAATGGTCAACAAGATGAGCTCGCTTTCCATTTCCGTGCGTAGATCTAGGATTATGTTTTATTTTAGTCAGATCAATCAGACTAATTTGCTAACCATTATCTCTCGTTGAGGCTTCCTGAACTATTTATTAAGTTTAGTTTGACACAAGGCCTCAAGTATGGGACACTTAATAAGGAGTGAAGTCACTTACTCTGTAGACTAGCTTGTTAACCATTACACCGTCCTTGAGGTGACCAAGGTAATAAAAGCCGATTCATTTAGTATTTCCTTTTGCTGAACCTCTGTCTCTTTTCTGCCATGAAAGCCTATCCATCACTCATTTATTTAACACGACAGCTTTTTAGATCAATTGCACTTACCTTAGTTTTGTAGATCACTGTAGGAAAACTGATTTCAGTCTTCATGAAGTACCCCCCCCCACAATTCTAATGAGCACTTGTACTCCCTGTCTGAAGTTCTCTCCATGTCTAAAGGATTGGGAAAAATGGTCGATTCTTTGTACCACTCTAGAAAGTACCTGACAAAAAAAGGTGATTTCAATTTAACCTATTAATGTTCACCGTCCCTATAATTTATACAGGAATTATTTATAAACCTGTTGTTAATTTCGTTTTTTTTTTTATAAGCTTATAATGTAATTCTACCATTGAAAGCTGCGCTAAACGTCAGTTAGAAACAAATCCTAGCTGATGAAGAATCCTACGGAAATGCATGAAGGTTTCGAGGCTGAATCTGTGAAAGGCTAGTACAGTTGAGTGGCCATTACTGAAGTAAACAAGATCCAAAAGAAAATGCGAAAATATCAAGAGATTGATAGAATCTACACCGATCAACTCAGAGACGATATCGGAATCAAAAAGGTAGAGCTAGGTTGAGCTATGGCTGACAGAAATGGGTGGAAAGAAGTTGTCAGAAGAGTTCGTTTGGGGATGATTAGATGATGATACGGAGTTTTTATTCAAATTTAATACGGGATTTTCTTTTTTTAATAATTGATAATGGATTTTTGTTTTTAGAATTGATACCGGATTTCTATTTCTTTCTAATAATTAATACCGAATTTTTATTTTTATAATATGGGGTTGTTATTTTAATTTTTATAATTAATACGATTTTTACGGTGGGCATTAATGGTTTAAGACATGTAAAACGACAAGGTTGTCCGGTCGAGTTTAACGATGACGAGCTTTTGACTGAATTTAACAGAAACAGTACTGTCTCAAGAATGAAATCAGAGGTTGAATTGAAGTTATTCGACGGTTCATCGTCAACTACAATTACTTGATTCGTATGTAAGTTTGAAAAATCGGTTTGCTATGAATTGATAAAACCCAATTGTAAAGCGATGTTAAATACTTTCACCTTACCTTCGTGACAGCATTTTACAGAGTGTTTAGAGAGATCAGAGAATGATGTCTGAACTCGTAAAGTCATTGTGGCGGAATCACCGGCAAAGAAACTCTGGTTATAATATCAATGGTCTAAGGCTCCAGTCTAAAATTATTAGTATTAACAATTATTTTATAAATGCTATTTGTTGTAACATACCTACGGGATGTCCCCATTCACATAAATACAGTAGTAAATACTGTATGTTGGTCTGCAGTTGGAGATTCATTCTAGAATTTACTTGACTCACTTCTAGCAGTTGAGTGCTACTTCTACGCGCCGCTGGCGAATCTTATATGTGTTGTTTGTTTCCTAAGTATTATCGTTCATTACCAACCTCAGTTTGATTATTCTATTCAGTAACCTCTCCTAGGTTACAACATTATCCGAAGGCTCCAGTCTACAGATACAAGTATTACCAATTTTTTATGAATGTTATGTGAAGGTTCCAGTCTACAGATATTACTATTGCCAATTCTTTTATGGATGTTATGCGATTGCTCCAGTTTAAAAATATTAGTATTAACACTGGTTTATCAATGTAATACAATGGCTCCAATTCACAAATATTAGTATTACCTATTGTTTTATAAATAGTATGTGATTACTCCAGTTTACAAAATTTATTGTTATCAATTGTTTTTAAATATTATACAACGACTCCATTTTACAAATATTAGTTTTAACAATAGTTTATAAATGTAATACTATGGCTTCAGTCTACTAATATTAGTATTACCAATTGTTTCATAAATGTTAGGAGATGACCCCTGTCTGCAAGCTTAATAATGGCTGATATGAACTCATTCAAAAGTGATCGGGTATCCATGTTTTCATCTTGTTCAGTTAAGACAGCTGTTGCATAAATGCAAAGAAAGTGTCCTAGAACACATAAGTTATTAATGTTCAAAGCGATAAATCAGAATAACATTTGCAATGTCAATCTTTATTTTCTGTCCTCTTAATTGCTGTTCTTTTATTGTTCTCTCTCCTTAATAATTTTTTCTTTTTCTTGGGTTTTCTTACACTCAGTAACCCTTTGCGTCTTAGTGGTTTATTGCCTTGTTTGGTGGTGAAATGATTAAAACAAAAAAGATTGAAAAAATATAGAATGCACTCAAGAACTTCATAATCAATAGCATCCGTGGATACAATAATTTACATCTTATTACACGTAAAACCCAGTGCATATATTCTGGCGTAGGGGGAATTGTAATAAAAATAAAGCAAACTCTCACAAATCCACAAAAAGGGATGTCGGTTTTCGTTTTGACCTCTAGTTCACTGTCACTGACTATATGAATTCTAATCACTAGGAAGCATATTCGGGTCATTCCATCAGCTCCGTAGGCAGCACACCCGGGCTGTTCTATCAAACGTTTTCTATTATAAATGACGGAATGAATCTATCGGTTTTTCTTTGCATCTTAGAACCAATGGCATTGGCAGGCGTACGCCCTCACCATTTTTGAAGGTAAGGGGATTTTCTAGACTAGTCCATTTTATAACGGGGGGAATAAGCTGGACAAGTTTAACTTATACCACGAGTTAGCTTAGAATAACCACGGGTATACTCCGGGCTGTTATAATCTTGTTAATATTGTAGTATTCTATCTTGATAATGCATAGTCATCTGCAACAAAATCATATCTAAAAAGAATGAAAACCTTGAGTTGGAAAATATTCCACACTTTCCTCGTTCTCCAGATCTTGTTACATCTGGTTGTGGCCTTTTCCGGAGTTTATAGATCTATCTTGAGGGATTAGTTAGGCATAAGCAGATGAAAAGCATCCTCGTTACATGATTTTCCTTCAAACTCAAAGATTTTTGTAAATCGGTGTTTCAAAGATTATAAATCATTTGAAGTAGACTGTTAATAACAATCCCAAATATGAATTTAAAAATAACTGACCATAAATTCACTCATTACTTATGAGATGAGCCAATATTTCACCATTTATTTTATTTGGCAATTTTCTTACAGTTCATTTGATGAAGTGCTCTGGCTAAAAATTTACGTCTTTATTTGTTATGAATAATCAAGAGTGGTCTCCTCTTGTTTTGTAACTCTCCTCTTTGAGAGAGCTATTTCTTTTTACTGGAACTATAAAAGGGCACTATACGTGCATCTTGTATTCTCCTCATTTGAATAAAGCTTTATTGTAGCCTACATCTGTGGACTTTTGTCATTACACTACTGTTCTAGTCATATTCTTCCTTTAGTCTGTGGTTTACTCATTCGAGATCTCAAACATGAAAAGAGGGGAAAGCATCTTGACTCACTGATATTTCAAGAAATAGCATGACAAAAAACTCACTTTAGCATCTATTTTTGCATGATTTACATCGACTATGTACAGAGAGTAACCAGCAATTTCAAATATCATGGAAATTGGTTGTGCGGCTTGATGTAACGTGGCATCCAATCAGAAGGGAGCGATTCAGTCGGCAAAGATATACGTCGTATTGATAGCTAATATTTTTTGTTGTTGTTGTCGACAACCGTCTATCTCGTAAGATAGCACCCTGATCAGTAAAAATCAGTCACACCGAAAGCAACAACTAAACTCACTCGGCAATCCGATTATTGAAGGACCATCTCGTTTGCATGTAATACATGTGAAACTGGCGATGAAATGGTGACACTGGAGAGATCACTGCAGGCAGCAATTATGATTAGACGATTATGGTTGATTGTTTGTTTAACGGCATATAAATATCCTTATAGGTCATTTAATGCCGAAAGTTAATTTTCTTGGGAGCTTTGAAGTAATAAAAATATGATATGTTAATTTGCTTTCAAAGTTGAATACATGATAGATGATACACAGCTTTTGTGCTTATATATGTTTGTGTAGACATAATTAATATAGGTGATGATATGTGTGTTTTATGTTGTAATTTTTTCGAAGTTATATTTTGGAATACAATTTGATTTAATAAATTGTAAGATATTATATGGATTAATGTCATAATGTCATGTTGGTTGGTTGATCATGTTTAGCAGCATATCAACCTCTATTGGTTATTTTAGGCCAAAATCTAAATATTTCGAACACATTTGTATGCCTTCAACTACAGATAAAAAGGTATTGTTGGTCATTTTCCTATAAATGTGTATTGTTGGTATTTTTTATATAAAATATATTGCAGGTATTTTTACTAAAAAATGTTATTTTTATACATTCATAGTGTTTTGTTTTGTTTGAGGGTTCACTATTTGTCCACAACTGGGGCCATAACAGACGCTAGTACCCCAGGTCAAAGTGAACAACAGTAATTGAAAGTTCGCTACACGCTTCTCAAAATCTCCAATCACCTGATCAAAGACCTTACTGGATGAATTTTATTGTCATATCTAGGACTGGGACGGTTACGAGTGAAGACCTTGGGTTTGTTGGACAACAACGCGCCCCTCCCCACCCCAACTTCTCGGCTGTACCGATAAAATACAAAGGAACTGTAGACAGTATTTTTGGAATCGGTTTGAATGCATAAGTTGCGATAAGGATGTCATTGGCAGCTAATATGCATAAGTTCTGCTAAGACGAATGATAAAAATGACTTCCAGCGATAATTCAATGAGTGAATCCCTGATAAAAAATTTGGTTCCGAAATTTGGTCGAGAATACGTTGAAAGTTGTGGAAGGTCTTCAACACTGAAAAACATATGAAAAAATTGCCGAAAATGATTTTGAAATATTTTTAAAAAAAATGACTTCAGCTTCCCTAATTAATGACTACCAATATCCGTGTCTTGATAAAATGCAATATTTGAGTGTGCATTTTCAAGAAAGGAATGTTTCCCAACTTGGAAAGTTGGCTCGAATCAATCTTTTAAACCATCATTTGCGTCCTTATCTAGCACTGACGAAATTAGATCGAATCAATATAAGCCCAGCTTGTGGCACAAATCGTGGCATATCTCGATGTTCTTGCAGTCCCTTTCCAAATCCATGTAAAATTTAATAATTTCCAGTATTAATTTTCAAAATAGTAACTGCTACTTAGTATATAGTTGTGGCACAATATATTCTTTGTAGTCCATTCATCCCACGCTATATGACTAAACTTGGTTATGACACCAGCAACAGACAAATCTTAGACATTAATTAATTAATAGGTTATAGGAAGACATTTATAATTCATACCGGATTTTTATAAACCTATAAGTAATATAATTAATTATATGGTATGTACACTCGACTATTGAGAGCAACACTAAGTGTCAGTTGGGAAAAAAAAACTATCTACGTGAAGGAACCAAAGGTTACGGACACAATCTGTGCCATATGATTGCGGTTTAATGATCATTACAATGAATGGAAATAAGGCAGTTGACAGAGCAGAAATTAAAAGAAATTCCGGGTATTCCACGTACCATTCAGAAAGTATCCAGCCATTTTCAAATCTTGACCGCCTTCGCTTTTTTTACAAACTATTTTGGTAAAATATCCACCCACATCTTTCCGTTCTCAACGGTCTTATATTCACTCAAGAGCAAATACTCTTGGGAAAGGTATGAATCCAACTCTTCTCCCCTTAGCTATGGATTAACTAGTAGAACTAGTATCAGTAAATTATTATCTCCCCCAGCACAAAAATAATCTTACAATCTAACATATTTTCCGGCTTTAAAAAAACTCCTAATGGTTGATAAGCTATAAAAAAAAAAAACAAATCAATCAATAAAACTACTGCTATTACAGATTATTTCTGGGTATGACGATGAGCTACATGCGGTAAAAAGGCCTCTGATTGGGAGATTGGAGATTTTGAAGAGCGTAGAACTACCTCTTAATTGCTGTTGTTCCCAGATCCACCCTGACTGTGGGTGCTAGCACTTATTAGGGTCGCAATTATGGGCCAGTAGTAATCCCCCAAACAAAAACAAAACACCATGAAAGTATAAAAATAGATTTCTATAGTAAAAATATTAGCAGTACATTTTTATATAAAACAAATTACTACCAATACCTATTAATAGTAGAATGACCAACAATACATACAAGTGAGATCAAAATACTTAGATTTTGGCTTTAAA